ATACACACACATACACACATAAACATATACATATATACACATATACATATATATATACATATATATATATCCTTGATACTTTGAGGCATCCATGCTCTCACTAATGTGGCTCCTCCCTCTAGCACTACCAATCATGAACCATCTATGCCTGCCCCTGGGTTATTATCAGTCAAGAAGTCATTCTCCCATTTTTCCTTTTCTCCCTCTAAAATGGACAGAAGAAAGAAAAGATAGGAAAATCCCTCTTAATAGAATCTGATCTTTAGCATTCTGGGATCCCACCCCAAATTTATTCAATAAACTAGAAAAACCTCTTTTCCTATGAGTCTTTTCTCCTTTCATTTTCGCACACCCCTTAATCTCAGAAATTTAAGTAAGCATCAATGCTACTAGCTATAAAAATTTGATAATGTAACAAATAATACTAATAAATATTGAATTATTTCAACAATGTATCACAGCCAGATTCACCTCTAACCTTCAACTTTAACTGTTACCTTCTGCCCAAATCTAGAAATCCACTCCTACCATTCAGCTCTCAAGATGGTAGTCAGTCTGTCAATAGCTCCTCAGAACCTTCTCTGCAGCATGAAGCAGTTTTCTCTGGAAATGCCTCTTTAGTCTTTCTCAAAGACAACAGTTAACTGCCTCCATCTCTCAGGAAAGTTTTCTTAGCCTTCCTCTCTGTAACTCACATAGTCTCTCTTGGGCTGCTCAGCTAGCACTTCAGATGTAGAATTGAACCCAGACCATCTCATTTCTAAGGCTGAACTTCTACACTGCATTGTTTCCCAAATCTTATTCTTATTGGACTTAATTCCAAAACCTTTCATTATTTTTAGTTGCTTCCCCTTACATCCTGTCCAAGTCAGAATGATTCATTGTCAGTTTTGATACACCTGTAAAACATTTTGAAAATATGGGGTAATGTTTCAGGATTGTATTCTAGTGTCTGGAACTTCTTTTTGCTTAGATCATCACTTTCTTCCTAAAAATTCCATCTATTGTTAGTTCAGTGTATTTCCAACAGGACCTTCTTTTCATCATCCTGCTTCATTTTGAAAGAGGGAGGTTTATTTTCTACCTAGCAATTAAAACTCTTCTAATTTTTGTTAATGTTAGGCATAGCAACCAACACCAGAGCATGCTCTGAGATATCCAGCTCTCTGTTGTATGCATCTTAGGCTTTCAAAGCAGCTGACTGCCTTAGCTCTGTCCGCTTGGTGGGTAGTACTGATGTCCTGATATTAGTCTAGGGTTTGTATTTGTATCATCTCCTCAAATATCAAGCACACCAACTCTGCATTCCACTCTTGAGTACACTCGTGTCAAACTGGTCAACAGTTGTAATAGAATGTAGCCCTGTCTCTAAGACTTGGTCCTACTGGTGTTCTTACATCATGTTGCTATAAATTCTAGTCCCAAGAGTCTTTCAGAAAGAAAGTCTGTCCATTCTTCTATTTTTTTTCAGTAGCTATGGTACAATGGGAAAAGCCCTGGTTCTGGAGGCCCAGGGTTCAAATCTTGTCTCTGCTAATTACTATATGTATGACTTGGACAAGTAATTTAGTCTCTCTGGGCCTCAGCTTCCTCATCTGTAAAATGAAGTTATTGGGCTAGATGGCTTCCTTCCCCTCCAGTTATAAAACTATGGTCCTGTGAAAATGAGCACCTCCTTCAAGTCTGTGATTCTGAGGTGGAGAAAAGGTGTCCTCGACTTGTTTTCCTACCACTTTCTTAAGATGTTTAGGAGGGTATTCCTCTGCCTCAGACTGCTCTGTACATAATGAAATTCTTCCTGAAATAATTTTACTGTCTTCAGAAGCTTATTATAACTAATATTCAATTTTCTTCTTTCAGGTCTAATCTGTACATCACGTACTGTAATCAGGTACATATGTAGTTTCCCTGGCATCTAGCAATTCAAAATAACAACAACAAAAATAATAATAACCTACCACTTACATCACTTTAAGATTTTCAGAGCACTTTGTATATATCGTCTAATTTGATCCTTACAACAACTCTGAGAGTCTGGTACTGTTATTATGTCCACTTCACAGATGAGGAAACCGAAGATAAAAATGGTAAGTGACTTCTTCAGGGTCACAGAGCTAGTTAGTGTCGGAGGCAGAATTTGAACTCAGGTCATCTTGATTTCAAGTCCAGCCCTTTATCTAGGAGGGGTCAGGTAGCTAGTTCTTAACTTAGACAGCCTAACAGCACCTACTCTTTTAACTTCATTGCTCACTCTACTCCTAGCCTCTAGAGCAGTCTGTCCTTCATGACAAAAGGTGCAGAGCAGCATAAGTTCACTTCAAACTCTACCCTGCTAAATTGCATCCTAGCCTATCCAAGCATTCAGATACCTTGACATCAGGGTCTTTTGATTTTGGACCACATATGAGATCAAAAGTTAATCTGTAAAGATTTTCCATTAGTCTCAACTCTCCACATCATTTATATGCTACTGCTGTTACTTTTTTAGTGGCACACCACATCCAGGTTTTGAATGTTTCCACTCTAAATGGGGCTGGAAGCTCTCCTGAGAAGTTTTGTAACATGACTTCTAATTTGTTGCCAATCTCTTCTCCCCAGATATCAAGGCACCTCCCGCAGTGCCCAAATACAGTCATTCCTCTGCAGAAGACCTTTGAGCTTAATTCTAGATCTTCCTTGTTTGTAGGAGATGTAGTGACCAGTTTCTTGGTATTCTCCCCAACTTCTACCTCTCCACAAATGATAGAACATGATTTCAGCTAAGTTGCAGACCATACACATGGCTTTGTCTCTCCTTATTGGGTTCATTGAGTACTTTGCATCTCCCCAAATCATTCACTACACCATGAATTTACCTTCAAAGTTCTTGTTCTCCATGTCATATGGCATTCTTACTATCAGAAATCCCACATGGCAATTCAGTTCTAAAGCTTCTCACCAATGCTCCAAAGACTTAACAGCTACTCCACTGGGGGAGGGAAGGTTGTTTTGTTTTTTGTTGTTGTTTTAGTTAAAATAATCAACGTAGACAAGCAAGAGATATCAATACTTGATAAGTACTATACAAGAGTGATGCAGGACAATGCAACATTGGCATAAAAGTAATATTACAATGACAAAGTGGGTCTGATCAGAAGGGAGTCCCAGCAGGAATGACAAAATAATAATAAAAATAAAATTCCTTAAAGTAAAATGCTAGGCAAAGGAAATTTCCCAAGCAGTCTCTAAAAAAAATACTGAAAAACAATATTTCCCTCAAAGAAGTTCTGTATGTGGTGCACACTTCCCAGCAGCAGAGGGTGCTCTAGCACATCAGCCATGTTCCCTGTGCTCTCAGATTCACCTCGCAGGTGGTATCATGTCAGCCTAGGGACTGTATTAGCGTCATTGTCCAATCAAATAGCACAACTTGAGCCCCCATTCCACTAACTCCTCCAATTTGTCCTTTTCCTGCTGAGTTTCACTGAAGCTCATTTACAAAAGCATGCTAGAAAAGGGCTTTTTCAGAATAGTAGAAATAAATTAAACTGGGTTGAAAGCAAAACACCCACCAGACGCATTATCAGCCTGCAAGCCTTTTGGTTCTCTGTATTAACCAGCCAAAAGACAAGCAAGTAAAGTCTTGAAGTTCTTCCCCATCACTCAAACCCAGGTCTGGGCCAGGCTTTACTCAGAACTTTTCACTCGCAACCATACCCCATACAACTTCTGACGGTGCAAGGTAAGAACTTGAGAAGGCTTTGTTGGTCCCTTCCCGGGGTGGTACCAGATGTTGAGCAAGCAGTGGTTTCACTTTCAGGCTCTGGTGCTTTCGCTCCCCGATCTCCAGCTCTCATTCTCTGTGGCTATTAGGTTTAAGCAATTAACTTGATCTCTGTCCCTTTAATACTGAACAGGTTTATGGAAGTCTCGTGGTCCAGGCCAGCAATCTGAGCTCCCAAGGAGACTGAGGCTTGTGGATCTCTTAGGTTGGGGAGTTCAAGCCTGCAGTGAACTGGGCTGATCAGGTATCTGAACTAAGTCTGGTACCAAGAGGGCCAGTGTCCAGAACACGGAACCCAAAACCTGATCTCCCTGGGAAAAGGACTTCAAGTTAAAAAAAAAAAAAACAGGCAAGTCTGAAGCAATTTCCTGAAAGGATATATAAACTGTTTAGGTATCACAGTCTCACCAGGACAGATAAAGAAGAGGCATGGACAAGCTGTTATGAGCAGGGCCCCACCTCCCCAACCTTGATCATTATGTTCAAAATCAATCTCCCTTTTAAAAAAATTTCTCTCTGCCCCAGTTCATCCCTGTCACTCATACAAACATGCTTCTAGCCACAAGACTCATGCCTGGAGCTCTAAGGGAAGGGCACCAGTTACTGTATTCAAATAAGATAACGAATTTAAGCACTTTGCCGACTTTAAAGCATTATATAAATGCTACCTGATGTTGTTGCAGTTATTGTCATTACATTCATAGGTTAGCAGCCCTGCTATCACTGTTCTCTAAGGTAAAACTAGAACTTATTGATGAAGACCATTGATCACATAAGGACCAAGGACACATAGGGCTGCACAAAACTGAAATGACAACTTGTGAACCTGCCAGCACTGGTTTTAATATTAGTTTCTCCCCCCAAAAAAATTACTATGTATATATATATGTACATATGTGTATCTTATCCTCCCCCCAATTACCTTGTATATATTTTGTATAAACATGTACACAAATACATAAACATATAAATATAATGTGTCCTTTCATAGAAGTACAGTAGGTTTGGGTTTTGAATGAAGGGACAATGACTTAGTGACTAAAGCTAGCCAAAAGGAGATTGAACTACTGAGGAAAAAAGAAGAGTTTCTCCTCCACTAGAAGTCGCCAAGCAAAAGATGGATGACCATTTCTGGGGATGTTATAAGGGCATTTCATGTTTCCAGTATGGCTTGGATTAGATACCTCTAACATCCCCTCCGTTGGTGAGACACTGTAATTGTACAACCTTGTCTTACCTTGCAGGATTTCTGGTGGCCGCAAGCAGTAACAGATTTCTTCTTCCCTTTTTTAATGCAATTTCTTATTCACCTTCTAAAGTAAATTTCTTTCTCTTCTTGACTGTCATAGGAATTTAATCAGTCTCAGGTCTATAGAATGTGGCTAACAAAGTAACTAGGCTGGTTTCAGTAAGCCACACTTAAAAATTTGCCATCACCTAATAATAACCAGCGCTGATTTTCCCAGCCAATGCAAGTGAGCCCTTCCAGTTGGTCAGCAATCCAACTCCTCTGGGACAAAGCAGAACATTCTTTATCCATTATGATTTCACATTTCTATGGCACTTCAAACTTTACAAAGTGCTTTCCTAATAATGCCAGTAGTATTATCTCCATTGTATAGAGGAGGAGGGAGGGTTTACCTATTATGGATGTCATTATGTTAATTGCATTAAGCCCTATAACATAGCAGAGCTTCCTAAATGAGATCGTAATCACTGTAAAGGAGGGGCTCAACCTGATATCCATGAACCAGAGTTTGGTTTTTTTAATGTATTTTGGTGACTGTACTCCAATATAATTTGTTTCTTTGTAATCCCATGTATTTAATTTTATGCATTTAAAAATATTATTTGGAGGAAGGGTCCATAGACTTCACCAGACTGACTTCCAAAGGGGTCCAAATCACACACAAAAAGTTAAGAACTCTTTCTCTAAAGAGTTCGGTCTATCTGCCCATATCAAAACAAGTGGATAAAGAATGATTGTTCTCTGGGCTTTGATAAGAAACTGAATGGATACATTATAAAGCTTGCCCATTAATGTGTGTGCATGCATTCATATGTGCATGCAAACGTGTATGTAGTTTAGTCAATAAAACTATATTAAGAGCTTACTATGTGCCAGGCGCTGGAGATACAAAGAAAGGTAAAAAGGCAGACTCAGAACTCAAGAAGTTCACAATCTAATGGGGAAGACAATATGCAAACAGCTATGTACAAACAAGCTACAAACAGGATAAATTGGAAAGGAAGGTACTAGAATAAAGGAGCTTTAATTAAATTAAAATTAAAGATCAATCAGTGTGTACTTGATATAGATATTTACATACTTACATAGACACATATCACACAGGCACTGCAAATGAACAATGATATGAATGAAGAGTTGATCAGGAAAGAGTGGCAGGATTAACTTTAGGAAATTGCAGAGTGTTTCTGATGACCCCAATCTTCTTGAAACAAAGACTCATTTTTTTAATACCAATGTACTTTTGACAGTGTTGAATACTTATGAGTCAGGGAGCACTACAGGCCTCAAAGAATTTAAATTGAAGCTTGCCCACTCAAAAGGCAATGGAAAACAAGCTTGGTGGCCTTCAGCAGGCTGCAAGAATTAGGAAGAAAGGATGTCATCAAGGAAATATATAAGTGAAAAAGATGATTTGGTCTTCTGGAAAGAATACCAGATAACTTATGGATGGCCCTAGAACTCCACCAGTATCCTGATGTTAAGGAAAACAAAGAAGGCCCTAAGGATAGGAATTTATATGCAGAAATGGTCAAAAAAAGTATAGATGGGTAACCCTGGATGGTCTACTAGTTACATCTCTAGCAGAAATACCCACATCAATTTTCATTTGAAAATTTGTATATTTGTAAATGAAGACATTGAGGCTTGGAGTGGTTAAACAATTTGCCTCTGGTTACAGTAAGATCAGAGATAGAATATGAACCCAAGCCTCATGGGTTGAAGTCTGGCCCTCTTTGAACTCTTATCACACAGCCTCAGCAGTTGAGGGGGGTAAGGTGGCATAAGGAGAAGAGAAAGGATAGTTCATGCTTCCATGAATCCATGTTAATTAACCTTTAAATTCCCCTAGGATGAAGAAGGTACAGTTATCCCTTCCACATCTCATGGGTTAGGGGTGCAATGCCCCCACAATCTGGAAAATTTGTGTAAAATTTCTTGGCCCTCCTGTCATACCAGAGAAGAAGTCTGATTTTTTTTTCTTTTTCTCTTTCTTTTATGGGGTGTTTATAGTACCTTGTTATAAAATCTGAGTTGGTATTATACAGTAGTTTGCATATATTTTATGCTTTTGAGTTTCTAAATTTTTTCTGTGTGGTCTGCTGGCCTTCATGTGTCATCTGCAGCTTCTTCAAGACTCTCAAAAAAATTCCCATTCAATATCTTATGCCAACCCATGATATATCAAAACTACAATGGGGAATGTTGGGATGTGGAAGGGATAACTGTATTGTGAACTTTGGGAATAGTTATATTCTTTTTTCCAGTAGGAGGTATCACATCCATTCAACCTGGCATAGTGGTTAAAGTGATGGGCCTAGAGAAAAAAAACCTAAGTTCAGATTCTGACATTTACTGGCTGTGTGACCACAGGCAAGTTGCTAAACTCCTCTGAGCCTCAGTCTCTTCATCTGTAAAAATGGAAGTGACAATACCCAGAAGTTCCTCCCTCACAAGTATATTGTGAGTCTCAAATGAAGGCATGAATAATAATGCACTTTATAAAACTTAAAGCATTATATCAATATCAGCTGTTGTTATTCATTTCAAAAATACAGGTTCAAGGGGCAGCTAGGTGGCACAGTGGATAGAGCACCGGCCCTGAAATCAGGAGTACCTGAGTTCAAATCTGGCCTCAGACCAAACACTTGACACTAGCTGTGTGACCCTGGGCAAGTCACTTAACCCCAATTGCCTAAAAAAAAATGCACGTTCAAGTTTAGCTCTAACCTATAACTGAGTGGTGGAAGGATGAGATAGGAGGTGAGAAACTCTCCAGTTACTTTTCTCTACCTTACCTAAAAGGACAGTGCCTCTGTACAAACTATGCTGCTCCTTTATTTCCCCAAATGAAATTATAAACAGCCATCCCCATTTCCATTTTTCTTCCATTTCAAGCAATGACTTTCCCCCGCTCTGATCTGGAGGAAGAAATGACCCTCGACAAAGCAATCACCAATATCCTTTGGTCGAAAACTATTTGTGGGCACTGGAGGCTTGGTGTGGAGGGGGAAATCACAAGAATGAACTTTATAATGGAGCTGAAGCATGGCCTCTGTCAGAGGAAGCTCTGAGGGGCCTCAAGCCTTGGATGGGCAGGAAGCCCTTCTTCCTGAGTCTCTTCCGCCACTGTGAGTTCTAGATTTAAAAACAACTGACTCTTACATTTGTCTTGAAAGTCTCAGAATGAGGTCAGAACTGCCCTACCCAGCTAGCATTTCCTTCAGTACCAATCTAAGAATTCTAAAAGTACCCTGAAGTAGAGCCCATGGTATCCTATTCCCAGAAGAAGCAAATCCCAGAATCTTAGATTTAGAGCTAGAAGTGACCTTAGAGGTCACCTAATCTAGCCCCCTCATTTTAGAAATGAGAAGGTTTATTGGATCATAGATAGTGCCTTGTCCCTGTCACACAAGTGATATGGCTAGAATGCAATCCCAGATGCTCGAGCTCTAAGGCCAATGTTTTCTCCTGTTTCAAAGGGCTGTTATTTTATGCTAACTGATCTTAATCATGTTTCTCTGACAGATCTTCTGACCAAAATCACATGAATTTCTTCCATTAACACACAGTTCCTCATTGAAATCAATTGAAATTGAAATTGCCACATTGAAATCCTCACCGTCTATTGTTCAATATATAATAGCATGTCCGCATAATATTCTCCTAGTTTTGACTCTGATTTTTACTTTTTATTCTAGTTATCCAGCTGCCTAATGAGGGTGTCAGAGAAAGTATGGTATAGTACAGAGGTGGGAAAACTGCAGCCTCGAGGTTACCTGTGGCTCTCTAGGTCCTCAAGTGTGGCCCTTTAACCAAATCCAAACTTCACAGTCCAAGGGCCACACTTGAGGACCTAAAGGGCCACAGGTGGCCACAGGTCCCCTACCCTGGTAGTAGATAGTCAGTTTTGCTAGGTTCAAAACTTGGGTTCAGACCTTCATAGACAGTGGCTATGTAACCTTGGGCAAGTCTTTTAACATCTTAGTAACCCCAAGCAATTCTCTGAGATGAAAAATTACAGAATAGGTGCCAATCAGCACCAGTAGAAAAGAGTTCTGATTGGGAACTCTCTGCTTCAATAAAATCATAGGTCTACTTCTCTTGAGTTTTGTTTCATCTTTCTGATGGTTCCTCCTATTGGTTTTAATTTTTACTTACAACTTCACTAATGTGAAAATATGTTTAATAGGAATGTAAATGTAAAGCCTATATCGGATTGTGCACTGTCTTGGGGAGGGTGGGGGGGAGGAAGGGGGAGAAAAACTTTCAACTCAAAAGCATATGGAAGTGATTGTTGATAAATCAAAATAAATCAATAAAATTTAAAAAAGAAAAAAAAGAAAAAACAAATCATAGGTCTAGTTGGGGGAGGGTGGAAGAGCACTACTACAACACCAAAAATCTACTTATTAAAATGAACATCACATAGAATTAGTATAATTGCACTAGATGGCAGCAAGCCATTAAAAGGTCACAATAAATGGCCATCCTTGTAGCCCTGGGAGTTTCTTGGTCATATCTGAGGATTTGATATACTCACAAAGGGAACTAGAGGCAAGGCAGAGTAAAAGACATCACTCACATCTTAGAGCAAGTCATTTATGGGTTTTGTTTATGAATTATTAAATTCAGTGAGCTTGAAGATGCAAATAGCTCTAATGTTGGGAGACTGATTGCAAAGTCCAATGACCTTCTTCTATACATACCCATGTGTTTTGGACTGATTTCAGTCCTAAGAATCCTGGCTTCTAATGAGAGGGCTTTTCATACTTTTCTGCTCATCAAAACCTTACCCCCATGCTCTGGGGGAAAAAATTAGTTAAACCTTTGGTTACAGCTCATGTCACATATATCTTATATGTATTTCCCCAAAAGGGAGAGGGTCTCATGCCTGATTCACAATGTACCATGTGATTCAGGCATGAAACAGGTATTTATTCCTATACAATCTGTTTAGAAATGTTAAACATATGAGTTTTGTTTCCTCTTTCTGGTGGCTCCTCCTATTGGTTCTAATTCTTACTTACAACATCACTAATGTGAAAATACATTTAATAGGAATGTATATGTATAGCCTATATCAAATTGTGCGCTGTCTTGGGGAGGGTGGTGGGGAGGAAGGGGGAGAAAAATGTTAAACTCAAAAGCATATGGAAGTGATTATTGATAAATCAAAATAAATTAATAAAAAAGAAATGCTAAAAATAGAAAGACTCAC